GGAAAGCTTTTCCAAACACAAAGACACGATGTCTATGTTTAACCATTTCATCCCTGAAATTCATATTGCACTCCTCGGCTTCCACGGCATTCACTCTACTTATGAAGATTTGTTATTTGGCTCTTTTCTGTTTACTGTATTATTTAAATTTTTTATGTGATAAAAAAATCCCATGCATCGACATTTTCACTGTCATGTATAAATACAGTATTTTACAGTTCATGTTGAAAAAGTCATAAAGGCAAAGCTACAGTCAACCTCATTAATAAATGTCTGAAAGGTACATATTCTGTTGCTCACAGCAACCAATCAAAATCATCTTTATATGATTACAGCGTAGTATAAGAAAAGCAAAAGTTTCTTTGTGAATGGAAAAGAACAGAACTTCATTCTGTTATAGCTCCAAGATGTCACACTCAAAATAAAATTGAGGACTGAACAGATAACCTAGTAAGCTAGTTAACCACTTTACCCCCTTTATGACCAGGGCATTTTTTGCTATTCAACGGTGCACTACTTTAACTGGCAATTGTGTGGTCATGCATCACTATGCTCAAATTAAATTTATATAATTTTTTTCACACAGAGCTTTATTTTTGTGGTATTTGATCACCACTGTTTTTATTTATTTTTGTTTTTGCTATATAAATGAAAAATACACAAAAAATGTAAATAAATAAAAAACAAGTTTTTTCATATTTTTGTTATAAAATTTTGTTTTCAATTTTGCAATTTTTTTTCCTTTTTTACTATTTTTTTACATTCTCTCATCAGAGTATGTCATTATTGCTTATAATAGTGATGATCACTATTATGAATGGCTTAATTTATGACTTAATGTTTACTATTTTGATGCTGTGATCAGCGGCGGACTGACAACTCATGGGGCCCCCAGGCAATAGGGGATCATGGGGCCCCTGTGTCCTTGCCCAAACTCAAAAAAGCCTATGAAAAAGGTACCAGGGGCATCTCATAGGGCCCCCTACTGACCCCGGGCACTCGGGCAGTGCCCGAGTTTCCAAATGGTCAGTCCGCCCCTGGCTGTGATTGGTCACAAGTGACCACATGGTACAGGGTGCTTTGATTGGCCCAGGTACCATGTACCATTCACAGCATCACAATAGTAAGCAAAATGTCATGAATGAAAGCAATTCATGGTAGTTTGCTTACATTGTAATCATGTGATCGATATGATTGGTCAATTGGTCATAGCAATCAAACGATACCCCAGCCACTCACAACGGCTGGGTACCAAGTGCCATGATCCACTATGTCCACTGAACACCACGATCACAGGATCGCTCCGCTGTGTACACCAAGGGTGCATGTGTGCCGCGATGTACTGGTCCCTGCAGCTGCCACCCAATTCTAGTAAAAGTACTGTGGGGAAGCGGCAAGTTGTTAAAGCTGGTTATACACATTGGTTGGAAATTCAAAACAAATTGTTCATGAGAAGAAATATTCTTGCCATCATTGAGTCAACTAGTTTAATTTGAAAGGCCTTACAATTTCATCCAGACCTACAATTTGAACTGAATCATAGACATTATACAGGTTTCATTAAAATATGTATCATTTTCCCAAATATAAACCACGTTTACAGAATTTCATTCATTAGAGAAAAAAATTTCCATCCCGCTCCTTCAAATTTCCTTAGATTCAAGTAATGCCGTGAATGAGAACTGTCAGTTGCTTGTGTTCTCAACCAACCTTCAAAGCATCAAGTGGCGGCATCATGGCAACTCCAGATCAAACAGAGGCTAAGATGGCAGCTCTCTTGGCTGTAACTGATAGAAGGGTTTAATTCTGCTTGAGGATACAAGTTATCAACACCTCTTAATTTAGTTTTGTCTATTGATAGCACACATCTAGAAAAGATGTGTTATGTAGTGTCTGGTGTTGTATTACTCTTCTTACATAAAGTTAGCTAATTATCATGCTGTAGAGCTAGCTTGTATTATTGGGGATACTGGTTCCAGTGATTTAGCATTATATGTATTCAGTAGCAGAGTGTGGCCACCCACATCCTGACAGTCAGGATGTGGTTTTGTCCCAGCTGCTGCATGGAAGCGGTCATTTATGTCAGACTCTGACTGTATTTAATATTAGTTCGGTTGGATTACCAAAATGGAAAGTATTTTGCTTTCTATGTATTTTCTGTTTTCTGTTTTATAACTCCTATGTAATCTTCATTTTATTACAACTGATTCTTTTAGTTGTTCATTCTTCTGCGTGGAAATAAATGATTTCATATACAGTAGCATTTTAACATACCTCCTGATTACTTTCTCTTCCAATAACCTTGCTCATGGATCTGAAGGCTTTTATAGATCTAGGGGTGTGGTGTATGTACTTTAACCCCTTCACGGCTAAGGGTAAAACAAATCTAAATGCCTAAGCACAATTTTGCAACGTTGACATATGTTAGTAAAACTGTACATATTATCACAACTACTTTGTACATCCACGTGAATTATACCTTGTTTTTTTCAGGACAAATTGGGCTTTCCTTTGGTGGTAAATGGCAATGGATATCTCCTGATTTTTTTTTATCATCAAAGAAAAACTGTCCCAAAATAGTAAAAAAAAAAAAAAATCATTTTTTAAATTTAGCTGTGTGTTTCTTGTTACTACCATAATCTACTATCTACCACCAAAGAACAACCCAAAATAAATTCTCCAGCTCTTGACGATTGCAGCGATCCCTAATATGTGTATGTTATTTGTTGTTTATACCTGTAGTACAGCCCAGAAACAATAGTGTACATTTTGTTTTTGTCTTTTTTACGTAAAACACACTGACACTGATACCAAATTATTTTTAACTCCTGACCTTTCAACCTTGACCTTTTGACCCTGACCCAAACGCTTACCCTGGCACTGAACTAGATCAAACCTTGATCTAGGTATTTTTTCTTTATTTTCTCTTTTATTTTTTAATATTTATTTATCTTTTTTTTTAACAAACATTTTTTGTTTTCCCCTCTATGCCAAGAGTTAGAGAGATACAATGTATCTCTCTTCTCCATTCAGAGAGAAAAAAAACAAGGGTACCAGGCTGTACAGTGACTGATCACTGTGATAACCAATCAGAGGCTATCACAGCAATCATGTGACCCGGAATCAGGGGTCCTGGGTCCCGATCATTAGAACAGGACCTGGTGCTTTCAGTGACACCGAGGTCTTTGTGCTGGGGGCGCATTCACTATATCTGGTCTCTCACAGTACACAGAACCTGGAAATGCAATTATTTTAGTGAATATAAACTGAAATACCTTTTCTGTTCAGCAGTTAGAGCAGTCTTGTGACTTCTACCAGCCGAACACATGTTAAAGCTTGTAGGAGGAGTTTTCATTTTGCTCTAGGAGGATGCAGAACTCCTGACCTCTGTCTGGACAGCGCTGATTGGCCCTGTGTTGATCACATGCACACTCCCAAGGGAAAAAAAAAACCTCTCTAGCAATACACACCAAACTGAGCATGTGCAGAGTGACTTTACATGATATGTCTTATCAGGAGATAAGAGGGGAACACTGGAATAAGGGGAGGATCAGAGAAGTCAGGATCCAACAACATTTTTTTTGCACAATGCAGAGGAATAACCCCCTTAGTTTCCACAGTGAGTATAACAAGCATGGTTCACTGCATATACAGACTGTTTTTACTGTTGTGGGTTTAGTAACACTTTAAGTAGAACATCTTTCATTCTTATCTGGCTAGTTTACATCTATGTGCTGCAGAACAATACAGACAACAACACACACAGTACTTTTATACATATATGCACGTTAAAGTGGTATTAAATGCAATTTGAAAAAAAATTTCATACTTACCTGCTCTGTGCAATGGTTTTGCACAGAGCAGCCTTGATCCTCCTCTTCTTGGGTCCCCCGTTGGCACTTCTGGCCCCTCGCTCCCTCCTAGCGCCCCCAGAGCAAGTAGCTTGCTATAGGGCCACCCAAGCAGGCTCAATCCAAAGCTGCTGCTCTGCGTGTCCATTCACACACAGAGCAACGGCTCCACCCTGCCCCCTCTCTCTTCTCATTGGTCTGCCTGTCAATGGCTGCCACTGCTATCTCAGCCAATGAGGGAGAGTCCCTGGAGAGCCGAGACTCTCATGCACTTTGCAAAGTGCATAGAAGTAGAATCTGTTGATGATGCCAGAACATTTTATATCTGGGAACTGGTGGTTAGCTAGAGTATCTTTTACGTGTGTTTTTAACTCCTTTTTATTGTAATAAATTGCATATGGAAAGCACTGTTAGTCTTCCTTTCTATTTTATGCTGTTCTTGTGATTGCTAGTTGTGGAAGATGTCTGATGGAAGAGTAAATACTGAAGAGAGATTTGACTTGTGTGGCCATATGTGGATTAAGCTGTTTTGACCTCTTATGAAGCTTTGTGGTCCAAAACAGAGGTGATTGGACCCACATAACACTGAGGGAAATGTATGTTATTATCCACGGAGGAGGATCATCACCTATCTTATCACAGAAGATTCTGGCATATTGCATTAGAGAAGATTTTTTGTTTTGGACTTCTTTATCATTCACTTTTGGTTATTGCACGGTGTGTGAGGACACGTATGTGTTTCCCCTATAATTTGTGGGGGTCTATATTGATTTTTGCACTATTTTTATGCATATTTCATTTTATTACATGTGAATATTCAGTGTCACATTGGATGTAAATTCATTTATATGATATATCTTGCATAGTGCTGCACTATTATGCTTTGATATTCTTGTGTACTCCATCTGTGTACACAGACCTAACAGCCCTTTCTGCCTGATTGGTCTTAGTGTATTAACACTTGTTGATGCACATATTAATAAACGTTGATGCATGACTTAACGTGTATTAACCTCCCTGGAGGTATTCCCGAGTGTAGCTCGGGTAAAGTTTCAGTACCACAAGCGATAACCCCGAGCTACACTCGGGCTTACCATGCGGCGCTGCTCTGCTATCCCTCGATCACTTACCTTGTCCTGCGCTCCTGCGATGTCCCTCCTGCAGTGTCCCCAGCAATGTAATCCGGCAGATGCCGACATCTGTCATCTGGGTTCCGTCCCCTGTGAACGTTGGGACATACGGGGGACGGAACGGCGGGAAATTTGAAAATGACAAAAAGTGACATTCACTAAAATCACATAGTAAAACATTACTGTATCAAACCATTTCACATACATTTTGTCCCTAGTGCTTTGTCCTGTGCCCTGCCTGCATTTTTACTGTTCTTTCTGCCTGGAAACTGAGAAAAGTCCATGGCAACCAAAAAGCGTCTCTTTAGGTCAAAAATGGGTTTTAGACCAGCTAGAGAACAGCAATAGTAAATCAGAACCACTTGCAGAATTAAGTGATAATGATTCGTGGGGAAATTCATCATCAGACACTGAAAACGATTTTGTGACTTTGCTCAGTGATGTGCGGACTTGGCGCTATATTTCAAATTTCAATGTTTTGGTTTGATTATATTATTGAATTAAATGTATTATTATATTATTTTTATGATTATTTATTAAATTATAATTTATATTTTCGTGTTTCAAGTTTTATCATACCCGGGATGTTTACTAGACTCTTGTTCGGACAGATTTCAGTGAGTTATTCCTAAAAATTACAGGCCTACAATAAAAAAAATACATATTTCCATGCAAAAAAAATGTACCGCTTTGAGCACAGAAATATGGACATAATCAGACCGCTAGGGAGGTTAATGTGCGTTGATGCATGTATTAACACCTGTTAATGCGTGTAAGGCGTATGTGCGTAACTGCATTTTAGTGGCTACAATATTTGTAGCCAGAAGATTGGAACTGTGTGCATATTCGCACATATATGCACATATAGTCATAAATTTTTCCATTACACTTTCCGTGAATGTAGGTTTGGGGCCTTTCTTTATGCATGGACACTTTGGCTAATACAGAGCTGCGAGGCTTAAAAGTGTCATTATTTCTGCCAATTTGCATGACGCCTCAGTGTTGAAAGTTTTTTTTGTGGAGGTATATTTTATTTTTTGTTAATAGGGCTTTTTTTTATATTTCAGGGTGTGCAATGTACACTTGCTGCTGACATGCACAAAGCTGCCCTTTGCAGCATATTGTAAAACACTTGTGCACCACATATTAACCACCCTTTTGCCATAGCTGGCATTAAATTTATGCCATTTCCTTTACAGTAAAAAAAAAATGTCAAGCTTTCCGAATGTAAGAAGCAGAGGTTCTTTCATGTAGAGTTAGTGGGGATGGGGGGCAAGCAAGTTCTGCAGAACAAAGCGGTAGTCGTGCCGGACCATCTAGAGGCCAGGCAAATCTGCCTTTTTCTATAAAGCATGACCATGGTTTTCAGCCACAACAGGAACACATAACCTTCCTTTCCTTCCTTCCCCTAGGTGCAGTAGCTAGTGCACCAGGTTCATCTTTTTCCTCTTCTGCTAATCCCGCCATAGCCCCACAAACTGGCTATGAGGAGTCGGTGGAATTATTTGATTGCATGATCGCTGATGTGCTGCAGGAACATAATCTTAGTCATGCACAAGCATTCCTTCTTTCAGATATTGAGATTGAGGAAGAGGGAGAGGATGGTTCAGCCACACAAATGTCTGGGGACATCAGACAGGAAGCAGAAAGAGGCAGTGATATTCCAGTAGCTGAAGCTTACTGTGAAATGGGCTCCTGTCAGCACCTGTGGTAGTGAGCCCTTGTAGATAGTCAACTTGGGATTCCCCAGGGCGCGTAGTCTAAGCTCCAACCTGCTTCTTCACCAGAGCCCCTGATGGTGGGAATGGACTTGCAGCAAGCTGGGACCAGGTTGCAGCCCCCAGGTACGCCCAGCTGAGGATGTGGAGACCGCTCGCAGGAGCAGAGTACAATGGGAGGAGTCAAACAGAAATCCAATAGACTAGCCGAGGTCAGGACAGGCGGAAAACAAGCACAGTCAGAGAATGAAGCCGGGGTCAGTACACGAGTAGTCAAATGCAGGATACAGGAGATAGCAACACACAGGAGCTCAGACAAAAAGTTGCTCAGGCAAAGAGGCCTAGACTGAGCATGTCTTATATAGGCAGGCAAACAAGCAGGAAGCGATGGAAGGGAGGAAAATAAAACCCAGAGAACAGCAGATGACACCCATGTGAGCACAGACAAACACACATGTGAAAGGGATCAGGAACAGCACTGCAGCAAGGAGGTAAGAATACACAAACAAGAAACTGCAGGCTAACTTGTGACAGCTCCAGCAATGAGGAAGGCTTGGAAGATAACATGGCAGACGGTTTGTGGGTGCCATCATTTGGAGAGGCAGAGTGACTAAGGAAAGATTTTGTCTAGGGTTAGTGGAAACTTGCATGGGACTGGAGAGAGCAGCCATCCTAGTGGTGCAGTAGATTTACCAGCCATATGGATACCACATGCATGAGAAAACACATGATGCTACACCAGAGAACTCAGTGGGGCAGCTCTTCAATTAGATGAATTTTCAGCAAAAGGCCCACACTCCTCTTTCTGCTTGTACTTCACTTCATGCATCTCCTAACCCACAACATTCTCCTGATGTATACCCTGCAACATCTGTGGCCTCTGGTGACAGGAATAGAAGTCTTACTGGGGGATTCAGAGGCTTAGGATTTACCATGTCATGAGGGGAAGAGGGTTTTGGGGCCACGCTGATGAGGCCACTTTGGCCTTACTTCTCTTTTAAGGCCACTGATGATGTAGCACAAGGTATTTTTCAACAAGATTACTGTACAGGCGGACTGTTTTATATATGAAAATACAGGCCAAATATTTTTACTTAATTTGAATACCCTCAGGATAAATTAGATTCACATAGATCTGAGTGATTCAAAAAACATTATTTACCATGCTATCAGCTGGTTCTTCCTATGTTCTTTGCATCACGTGGAAAATGAACAATAAAATAGGTAGAAAATGGACTGAAAACTGTCCATTCAAAGTGGCCATTGTTGGGAATTTGATGTGTGCATAACTGGCTCTGTTTGCTACACGTTTCACATTTGCTACAACATCACATTGCAGAGAATATTCTTTTACAGCAAAAGCATTTTCCATGTGTTCCTCTGTATTTCTTTTCCATTACTCTCGCTGCTCAGTCATTTTTTTCTTCGTATTGTTTGTGACACATCGTGATGGACATAGGTCTTTTAAAAGGATACTGGACACTATCATTCTTCATAATACAAAAGAATGTCATATTAGCTGAAATGCCACTGGGCTTCACATAATTGTGTTAGATGTCTAATCCAGGCTTTACAAGCAGAATTGACCTCTTGTTATCATGCATTATATTCTGGATGAAAAATATACTAAAGCAAACAAGTGAGAGATCCATTTACCATATCTCCTAACTTTGTGATATAATAAAAAGAGATATATTATAGTACAATGTATGTAAGAAAAGGACACACTCTTGGTACGCCCCCAAAGAATTGATGCAAAAAAAAAAAAGATTGGTTAAATTCATACTTCTTTTTTTCCCCACTAATATTTAAAGTGGCTTTTAAAATTAAAATATGCAGTAATTAAAGTAGGACTCCAGTCAAAACTTTTATTTTCCCATGCATTGGGGCTGTGCTGGTACTACATGAGTTAAGTGCTCGTTTTGTCCAGGGGCTCAGCGAAAAGCTGTACTTACCCATTCCTCCAATTCTCTGGAAAACCACGCTCCCCCAAGTCCCACAGTGTACTGTTCCTGCCGTCCTCACGTCTGGAGCTTGTCTATGGGTGTGATGACATCAGGAACAACCCATTCACAAGACCACTAGTGTGAGGGGAACAGGAGCGGGGGGTGACTGATCTTGTGCTTGGAGGATCAACGCATTAAGTAAGTATATCTTTGCTTTGCGATGCCCTAGGCAAAAACAAGCATTTAACACATGCAGTGCAGGCACTTTCCCAATGCATGGGAAAATAATAATTTTACCTGGAATTCTTCTTTAAGTGATTGGACGAAAAGTTTAATGGAGTATAACACTGTTGGTAGCTAAGTATTATATTTTGTTCCAGTGGTCTAAACACTCTATATACTTCACAAAAGGAGGAAAGTAGGACAGATGGATTTGGTCCCAAAAGACAGATAGTCCCTTTAAAACAGGGACATTTGAGAGCTATGGTTTCCGACATCACAAAATGATGTTTTCTGTTCTAAACTGGGCTTTAAAACATATTAAAAAAGGCATTTAACCATACTTTTTTCATTAATGATCATATCTTCCAACAAATAAAGAATTAAATTAGGGCCTTAGTCAACAGACTTTGGCTTGTGTCAATGAATACAGTTTAGATGCTTTGGAGATTATTTAGAATTTATTGAGTGGTGTATTTGGCCTGCCGTTGGCCTCTATCTTAGCTGCATTTTACCTGCTTTAAATGGGTTTTGTATTCCCATTGACTTGTATGGGAATGTAAAACCTGTCTGGCACAAACAAAAGACCATCAACACAGGCCCCAAAAGCTTACCTAATCTTACACAGTGCTAGTTTCTTTTTTAATTCTCCATTCATTCTGACTGAGGTTTCCTCTTATAAATAAAAGATTTTACTCTGCGCACTGACAAATTATTAAACAATTGACACAATCACAATCAAAGCCAAAAAGCCAAAAAAAGTAAATAATATATACAGTGGGGCAAAAAAGTATTTAGTCAGCCACCAATTGTGCAAGTTTTCCCACATAAAAAGATGAGAGAGGCCTGTAATTGGCATCATAGGTAGACCTCAACTATAAGAGAGAAAATGAGAAAAAAAATCCAGACAATCACATTGGCTGATTTGGAAAGAATTTATTTGCAAATTATGGTGGAAAATAAGTATTTGGTCAATATGAAAAGTTATCTCAATACTTTGTTATATATCCTTTGTTGGCAATGACAGAGGTCAAACGTTTCCTGTAAGTCTTCACAAGGTTGTCACACACTGTTGCTGGTATGTTGGCCCATTCCTCCATGCAGATCTCCTCTAGAGCAGTGATGTTTTGGGTCTGTCGCTGGGCAACACAGACTTTCAACTCCCTCCAAAGGTTTTCTATGGGGTTGAGATCTGGAGACTGGCTAGGCCACTCCAGGACCTTGAAATGCTTCTTACGAAGCCACTAATTCGTTGCCCGGGCGGTATGTTTGAGATCATTGTCATGTTGGAAGACCCAGCCACATTTCATCTTCAATGTCCTTGCTGATGGAAGGAGGTTTGCACTCAAAATCTCACGATACATGGCCCCATTCATTCTGTCCTGTACATGGATCAGTCGTCCTGGTCCCTTTGCGGAGAAACAGCCCCAAAGCATGTTGCCACCCCCAAGCTTCACAGTAGGTATGGTGTTCTTTGGATGCAACTCAGCA